AGAAGTGACTGAGCTTAGTCCAGCCATATGATGAAGATAGAGGTAAAATCCAGGTTCCTAGATGTCTAGCTTAAAGAACTACTGCTGCAGCACRTTGTCATAAACTGTGGAAGTAATGGTAGCTTTATAAAATAAGGTGTGATTTCTCGAGTAAGCTATGCCTCTTCTGTGAAAGTTAAGCATGAGAATTTAACTGCCGTGTTGCTGKKTTTTTTTCCTGTTGTTTTCCTTTGTTTTGAATGCATTTAATTTATTRCTCTTAAAAGAATTGCTCTTAATTCACATCCAGCAAAAATGTGCTGAATGCTGAGAGTTTCTGAGCCTTCCCAAGATTTTCTGCTAGGTTCTTTATAAAAATAAGGCTTCAAGGAACGCCCATCTCTGGCAGCATTGCAAAGCCTCACAGTTTGTACWCTTGCTGTGTGCTGCTTAGCCGAGAGCAGGTGATCACCTACTTTCTTGGAGTGAACTTCCTTCAGTGAAAACAAGCTCATTATTTTTAGCTTGTTTCACTTCTAAGCAGTTCATAAGCTGCTATTCAAAACTTCTAGGCACWGCTAGGGAAAAAGAACAACACTAAAAGGAAAAGGTACCGTTGTAAATGGGATCCTGGTATTGTGAGAAGTTTTGGAAAAGGTTTGTAATAGTGAAAATTATCAGTTTGTCATCATGGCATTTCAGCAGRGTTAGGAGCAGTGAGCTGAGGAGTTAGGAGCAGCATTGTTGCRGAGTGGAAAGCATTCCRGTGAGGTGCCCAGTTTCGTAGAATTTGGCACCTCAATGATACTATTTTTTTCTGAACTTAGGAGCGGAACAAAGATTCAATTTAGCGTTGAATTGAATTTTGTGTTGTGCATATTCATTATAGGGCATTTTATTCATGGCTAAAATGCAGAGCTGAGACATTCCATTTTTATAAACATAATWGATTAATAGCTCGCTTTGTATGTATTTTAGGTACTAGCGTAACCAGCACTGTTGCAGTATTTGTAATAGGCTAGCAAATAAAGATGCAACGTGCAGCAACAGCCCATCTTGAGGCAATTCTGCTTCACTTCTCACAGCACAGTAGCTGTGTCTTATGTGCYGGGAAATCAGGGCAAAAACACTTTTCAGAACTTTTAAAATATTTACCAATGCTTTTCAGGCCTAGCAAAACATGCGATACCTTTGGGGTTTGCAGGAATTTTCATGCATTATTCCTGTTCTAGACCCACCGAGATCACATACGTATGTGTTTGAAGACTGGGACCTTAACAGGAATGAGCAACATGGATTATTTCATCTGCAGGTGAAATGCCCGAAATAGAACATTAAATATCTTTAGCGTTCCCCAGCACAGCGGTTAAGGGCACCAAGTCGATTGCAGTTAGAAGTTGAGGAGCCTGTAGCTGTCTGGTCTGGAATTTGGCCAAGGCATCATGACTAATAAGCCTATTCTTGCAAAAAAAAGTGCCAGAGGATCTGATAGCCATGTGTGGTCAGGGTTTCTGCTTGCTCTAAATTAAGACATCTCCCAACACGACACAGCCACACATAAATCCCCATACCAATATTTGGCAAAGCTTCTCTTCCATTCAAGCATTTCTGTTGAAGAAAGCTGACTGTACAGAGCACCGAGGTAAGGATTTTTCAAAGGATTTATTTAGTTACTTCTGTGTTAAGTCAGTGGGTTGTTTTTCCTAACAGATTTTACCAGCCAGAATGCTGTCAAAATCCTATTCTGTGGTCATAACTTACCTGCCACCCTGTTATAAAGCTCTCATTAAAGTCAATATTGCGAGGGGGACTGATTCCGTGTACGTAACACACTGGAAAAAGCCTCTGAAACAGCTTATGGTTGGTTGTTAAAATGATAGACATTTGAGAACAGTGCCTGTGGGATGAATTCAGCTCCTGTGCTGCTTCCATCTGGCCTGCTGCTGTTTGCTCGCAGAAGATGGGAACCAGCTCACACTGCTCTGCACCCACTGTCCCACAAGAGGAATCCTGTCTCCTTCACGTGGCCCTCTGAGCCTTTGGAACCAGCATTTCTGCCATGTCTGGGTAATCCCTAAAGCTCCTGGTAGMGAGTCCCCACAACGACTGCTGCTGGGGCTTGGAGCGTGGCCAAGCATCCAGTCTCRCCCTGCAAACTTCTTCATTAAACAAGGCTGCATAATATAGGCTTTTATTATATATCAAGTTGTATACCTGGAGGTAAATAGTCTGTGTATCTAAGCTGACCTTCTCATTCTCATGCAGAAGTCTCACCTGAAGGTTCAGACTTCAGACAGGTAGCAACGGACCTCAAATAARTTATGCCAATCTCTATTAAATTTTATATAGGGAATTCATAAACAGAACAGATTGGTTAAAAAAAATGCCTATATCAAATGCTTATGTTAGCTTGAAATAGTTTGGAAGGAGTTTCTGCAGCACYGCACTGCTCTGCACCCCATGCGCGTGCTGCCTCTCCTGAGGGCTGCTTTGCCTTTCCCCGAGTATTTTATGTAAAGGTGTGCAGTGCACAAGCAACACAAAGCTGGAAAGGTGCAGGAAATGTAAGGTCAGTGGCTGAACCAGGCACTTCCTTCTTCTTACAGTTGTTGGAATTTTAGCTGGGGAATTTTAGCATCTTTGGGTTGCAAGGAGCCATTTACAAAACATCAAGAGGGAAGTCTAAAGCTTGGTGCTTGGGATAAACCAAGTGCTTTTCTGGGGTTCRGAAGAAGAAAGTATGATGTGTGCTATAAGCTAAGATTTAACATGAGATGCGTATAAGGCCTGATGCAAGGAAGTGCTTTGGGTGCCTTCAACCTAAACACCAAGTGTGTTCCTTCTACTCTTGCAGAATTTATTGAGCTCAGTCGGAGATTCTGCATCAAAGCCCAGACCACTGATGCCTGCTTGAGATGGGTGAGTTCTCAGGCTGCCTAATTACATTCATTACAATGTTAAAGCCATTAACGTTGTGCTCCTTCAAACGTCTGCCCAGTATTGGGTCATTAATAAAACATTGCCTCAGTAAACATCTTCTAAAGTAATTGCACTGAAGAAATACTTCTGCACGTTTTAGTAATACCTATGAGAACAAAGCAAGTTTTGCTTGAAAAACAGAGGCAGCTGCTTCTACTGACTTTCGAGAGAGGTAGGACTGGCAGGAAATTGCAACTACTTTCCCTCCAGTTGGTCGCTAAGTCTTAACATATGTCACAGGGCTCTTTGGAGCAGGTCTGTAATGCTCGGGATGGGACTATGTTCTTACTGGCATGTGGTTTGGTACTGTGCTTGTAGCCTGYGATATAGTCTGTACTCCAGGGTGGTTTAATCAACACGGTATTAGAGTGCTTCATTGGAAAGTGGAGTGTGACTCCAAGACTCTAATTAAGGATATAGTAAATATGAACATTCTATGATGCTTTAGGCTTTTTTCAGTTGTCTGAAGAACAAAAATGCCTCCTGTTAGGACAGAAATACACTTAAAAGTTTTTTTTTTTGGTTTTCACTGTGACAGGTGTATTGCCTTTAGGCAAACTTTTAAGTAAATGTGGTTGGACCTAGATTACATGTGGACTAGAAAGATGTATTTTATAAGAAATTTGAAAGAACACCAGTAGTAACATCTTGGTATGTTTTGAATTGATTTTTCTATCACAAATTTAATTTCAAATATGAGTCATTTGTGAAAAATCCAACCTTCTAATAACTCCGGTAGCTGCAACTCAGCATCCCTTGCACGCCTCTTTAAAAAGGGCTGTGTGTCAGTAGCAACCTTGCGATGTGACTCGTGGCACAGAACTTGTGCTGTGTGAAGGTAACAATACACATGTCCTAGCACCCAACTCGGTGACAACAGTTACATGCTTGCTTTCTTGCAAGACATGAACACTTTAAGTATTATAACTAGGGAGCGATCCATGTACTCCTTTCACTGATTCCTTCTCTTGCTCAAACCTGCTTGTGGTCTCTTCTGAAGCGGTACCAGGAGACGCTGTTTATCAGGCTCCAGATCAGACCACACACAGGGGCAGGAGCGGCCGTTCCAGCTCCGGAAAACCGGGTGCTGAATCAGAGCCCTGCAGCACAACSCTGGGGCTGGCGCTGCCTTAACTTAAACGGCCCTGGTGTCGGGTGAGCGGGTTTTTAAGTGCTGATTTTAAGGCTGGGACCTCACCAACACAAGCGGTCGGGTCCCGCTTGCCCCAGCGSTGGGTTCTGCGTAAACAGCCCGAGTGCCGGGTGCGCTGCACGCCCGGTGCACCGCGCCACATCCCCAAAGCCCCCGGTCATTTCTGGCACGGAACGCGAAGCCGCGCTRGCTCTAAAAGCGAAGAAAGGAAAGGGAGAAATCCGTGTAAACCTTAACTCCCCTCAAGCACCTCCTCCTCCTTCCTAACACACTTGGCTTTCTAAGGAAGAGCCACGCGCAGGGAAACGGGAGTCAAGGTTAAAAGCAGCACGTCCCCAGCACTGGCAGCTTTTGATCCGACAGAGGCAGTTGCTGCTACAATGATGAGGACCAGCAGCGCTGGGAGACAAGATTCCTACCCGGAGCCTCGCAGGCGCTGGGCGCCTGTTTGAGATTCATTCCACAAAGTCATTCCGGGGCTCCGCAAAATGAAGCTTCAGCCCATGCTGGGGAGCAGAATCACAGTCTGTCCCCTCTAAACCCAGCATATTGAGCACAGCGGGGCAGGAATTTTTTAGGGATTTTGTAGCGCTGAGTGCTTCGTGCTCCCCCTTACAGTTTGCCCTTCACTTGACATACACGACGGGCTGCGGCCAGAGCGACATATGTCACTTAAAACACACCATGAAAGCCCTTGTCCTCACAAGGCTCCTTGCCCAGCCYGCGGGCACGAGCCCCGCGCAACTTCCGCGAGTTGCGGAGTCGCAGAGCCCCCGTCGCGCTCCCCGCAGGGCGCCCGGGGCAGCCCCCGTGCTCGGCTGCGCGGCTACTTGTTGCGCGCGGCCCCGCGCCCCTCACCGCGCGCTCGGGCCGCGGAGCCCGGGCTTACCTGCATGTGGCCCTGGTACATGCTGCGGCTGCGGGCTGCGCTGCGCGGACCGGGCGGGGCGGCAGGGAGCCACCAAGGAAGGGGAAAATAAAAAAAAAAGGATGAGAGATAAAA